GTGTGCTACCTAAGTGTTGTGGTGAAGATCAAACGGGTTTATGGCAGAGGCATTTTCCCAGCATCTGCTCATAAAGTTGGGTTTTATAGTCTCTTTTCTTGGTTTTGTCATAACTGCTCCAATGGGACCTGGTCCTTCTCAAATCTATCAGTTCTCATGTGTGAAATCGGTTGAGTTTTGCTTTTTTGATTTTTATCAGAAAGGGCAGCTCAGGAGTTTCAGCCCAGAAAGCAGAACTACCGAGATCCCACCTGCTTCCTGTGCTTGGCCTTGGGGCTGCTTTCCTCCCTGCTGAAGCAAATCCACAGAGCCTCCTTGCTCTTCGACCAGAGTCCAGGCTTTCTGTTCTCATCCAAGTCCTGCTGTCCCTACACAGGAACCCTGGTTGTCCCCGCAGCCCCAGGCCAGCTCCCAGAGCTGCTTCCTCGGGTGGTCCGGAGTCACCGAGAGGAAAGACAGATAGTTCTCAGGGGCTTGAGGATGCAGCTCAGAGCCAGAGAGAAGCTCAGAAGCTCAGGAGACCTGGCTTCGAGCCCCAGTTCTGCCAAGTGATTGAGGCCTCAGTTTCCCATATCTGCACTCTAGGTTCTAACCCCTACCTGACCTCATCACAGGACTGCTCTGGATTCACTGAGATGGCAGATGGACAAGGGAGTATTGGAATGGCTAAAGGGGAAGAGGAAGAACAGGAGGAATGGGGGAAGCTCCATCCTGAAGGTTTTTTTTTTTGCAGTGCTGAGGATGGAATCCAGGGCCTCATACATGGTAGGCGAACTCCCTGTCCCTGAGCTAGAGACACTGGGGGAAGAGCTAGTTTTTGTCTGCTTCTACCACTGGAATATAAAAAGCAGGAAGATAGAGTCTTTGCTCTTCATGCTGGCTGGGTCTGGTGCAAGGTGCAGTATGGGCCGGCTGAATGGACCAGTGAGGTAGCTGGTGCTCGGGGAGGCATGGGAGCCCAGATGTCCTCCTGCCCATTTCAGCTTTCCAAGCCAGGGCCCCTTAGAGCACCCCTGTGTCTTAAGCCTGTGGTAGGGTGCTAGGAAGGGAAGGCAAGGGTAAGCAGAAGAGACAGCGAGAATGGCCAGAGGGGCCGTTGGGCAGGCAGGGAGAACCCCAAGGCACTGACCCCTCGTTTTGTGAGATGAAAAGCTGTCCAGTGTTGGATCCGCAACACGCTGACTAAGGAGAGGCTGCCAAGGGGCTGTGTGGAGGTGCAGGGCTGACTGAAGGTGACCTCTCATCCTCTGCACTCTACCAGAGTTCAGCAAGCCGGAGAAGGGAGCCCTTCAAGCCCCTAGTAGTTGTAGGTGTTAACAGCATTGCCTCTGCCCAGGATTTGACACGATGCGGTTCACTAGGATCTGCTGTGGCTTGGATTTATTGATTTTTGTTAACTAGTAGGATCAGACATCAAATGATACAGGGGTAGGAGGATTTATTCTGATGACTTTAAGAGGCTGGGTTTTTTTGTTTTGGTACTGGGGATCCAACTCGGGTCCTTGCGCTTGCACAGCAGGCAGCAAAACCACTGAGCTAAATCCCTGGCCCGAGGCTGCTTTTATTGTAAGGATAATTATGCAAGCAAAGAATCCAGGAAAGCAAGGCCAGAGAAGGAACTAAAAGAAGATTTTATATGATAGTACCACCTCCATCTGAAAGCAAACAAATCAACAGCAACAGCAGCCACTAAAGCGACCCTGAGCATAGACAAACCCAAACGATGCCCTGAAGTCAGTGTGAGCAGGGTTGAGAGCAGCATAAAACATTCTATGTACAATAAGCAAGCTCTTGATCAAATAAGGTACATGTAAGTTGTTGGAGGGGAAGGAAGTTGCATGGTCTGAAGTCCACAAATGGAGAGCTAGAGGAGAATTTAAGAGAAGACAAGATGTGTTGATCAAGCACCCAAGCTCTGGTGATTCTTTTTTTTTGTGGTACCAGGGATTGAACTCCGGTCCTTGTGCTTGCGCAGCAGGCAGGGAAACCACTGAGCTAAATCTCCGGCCCTTCTGGTGATTCTTATACCTGGACTTTTTTGGGTTTTTTTTTCAAGGCTGGGTGTTGAACCCAGAGCCTCCCACATGCTAGGCAGATGCTCTACACTGAGCTACATCCCCAGCCCTGTGTATTATTCTCATTTCTGAGACAGGCAGGGTCTCATTAAGTTGCCCAGGCTGGCCTTGGACTTGCAATCGTGCGTCACTCTTCAGATTTACAAGTACCATGCCCTGCTTAAAACTGGATTTCAAGAAAAAATTTTTATTAGAACATGTTTACAGCATATGATGATCAGCTCATCGTGGGGAGTTGTGGGGTTTGAATCCCTGATTTGCCACAGGCTTGGGGAAATTATTGTTCTGAACTTCATTTGCCACATGTATAAAATAGGGGAAAGAGTAATTTCTGCTTCCTAAGGGTTATCAGGGAATCTGTGCACAGAGCTCAGCTCCGTGCTTGGTATAAAGCCCGTGTGTACTAAACGCTGGCCCTTGCTGTGACTGTGCAATTGTCCCGTCTGCTTTACTCTTGGAGACTCAGACAGGGCTAGGGATGGGGTCAAAGTCCAGGGTGGGGGCAGCACTAGGTCCATGACCCCAGGGCTGTTCTGCCTCCCTCCCTGCCTGCACGGCCTGGTGGTGGAAGAAGGACCAGCCTTGTGCTCTGCTCCCCAGTCCACGGCCAAGGCATTCCTACTCCAGAGGATCCTGCTTCCCCGTACTCTTGTTTTGGACACAAAAGCTACTGAGTTTTCCTTCTCTGAGGAATTCTGGCTCAGGGTGACCCCTCAGGGGCCTGGGAACAGCCCCCAGAGGGCTCTCTGCCCCAGAGCTTCAGTCCAGCCCCAGCTGGCTTCCAATTCCTGAACCAAAGGCCACCCGGGAACCCTCACCCAGGGCTGAGAGTTCTCCCTTGGTCCATCCTCCTGAGAACCACATCAGGTTAGTTTGTGAAGAACAGCACAGAGCTTCGGTTGATTTTAGTCCCCACAGGGCCTGAGAACTATAGCAACAAATCCTGTAAAAATGTACAGCTGTCCAAGTGGCAAACTAGGTCCTGGGGAGCCCAGCAGCTCCCTGACCGGCAGCTGAGAGCTCTGGTCCAAGACCCAGAAGGGGACCTGGGGCGCTTCTGGAGCGGGGCTTCCTTCTTGGGTTCCTCACTGGCCCTCTTGAGAACCTGAAGGAAGCCGTGAGCCTTCTCAGCAGAAGAGCACACGGACCCCAGCCATTTATCTTCAACTGGGTAGGTCTGAGGGTCTCTTGAAGTCCAGTGCTGGGCTTTATTCTAGGCTGGAATGCTAGGAAAAGAAAATGCCTCTTTCATCAGATGAGTAGTCTGAAGCCCATTCATTTATTGGGAAAAAAAAATGGAGCCACAGTCAACAGGACACTGTAGGACACTGTTCCACACACTTGGGACAGGGCCGCGAGAAGGTGTGGAACTGCTGTCAGGTGGGGAGACAACTGGTTTCTGATCGTGCCGAGTATGGGGAGGAGATGAGCTAGCGAAGAGGACAAGCCCTGCCAGCGAGAGAGGCAGGGGGTTGCTCCAGTTGGGTGGTGAAGGGCGTCTTTCTGAGGAGGTGATACAGAGCCCTGAAGGACAGCAAAGGGTCAAGCACAGGCCATTGGGAAGGTAAAGTGTCTCTGGCAAAGGTAAGAGCAAGCGAAAAGCCCTGGGGCGGGGAAGCCCTGGAGCAGCTGAGGAATTGAAAAGAAGCTGGTGAGGCTGGAGTGGAGTGGTAGGAGAGAGGATGCAAGAAAGACAGAGCCCAGCGTGCAGAAGTTTACCATGGAATGCTCTCTGCCCTCTCTCCTGCCATGTCATTCAAATCCAATCTATCCCCAAGGTCCACCTCTTTTTAAAAATTTTTTTGATTTTTTGAGACAGGGTCTTGTTATGTAGTTCAGACTGGCCCTGAACTTACTATACAGCTGAGGATTTGTGGCGCTCTTCCTGCCTCAGTCTCCCGAGTGCTGATTACAGGCATGCTCCGCCATGCCCGGTTGAGGTCCACCTCTTCTAAGATGCCTCCACCAATCTGAACCCCTGGGAGAAGGTTTCCAGCCCGCAGCTCTCTCATGCATGTGGTTGTATGCCTAAGGCAGGTCCTTTCAGCAAGATCCAAAGCTCCTTGAGGACAAGAACCAGGCATTAATTCTTGTGCCTCCTGAAGGGATAGGCATGCAGTAACTATTCATCCAAGACCTTATGTCCCATAAGAATAAGCCAGGCTGGGCATGATAGCACACCCGTGTAATCCCAGCACTTGGGTCGCTCAGGAAGGAGAATCTCAAGTTTGGGACCAGCTTGGGCCACATAGTGAGTTCAAGATTGGCCTGACTATATAGGGAGACCTTGTCTCAAAAAAAAGAATGAACCTAATTCAAATGTAGAATCGGCTGATATAGTAATATCACCTTTGCCGAGGGAATTTTAGGCAAGCTACTTACCCTCCAGGAACGTTAACGTGGCCTCATAACAAAACCTAAATCAAATAGCTATGAAGATTAGCATCCCCAGTAAACCCTGGGCTTTGTTACTCCTTTGTTACTGCTGACTATCAATTGCCTCATCTGGAAGTTTGATCCCTTCTTGCCTAACTGGAGTTAGAGCGGAGTGTTTAGACCAAGCCCCAAATCACCAACACGATGTCACTGTGGCGGCCTGTTTTGTCTGTGCAAAGTTCTGGCCTTGCCTCTGTCCCACATGCAACCCCCTCACCGCTCTGGCCTGCTCAGCATTGCTCAGTGCTAGCGAGGACTCTGCAAAGAGGAACTGCTGGGGCCCTGGGGGCGGCCCGTGCCCACTCCAGGGCGTAGGCCCCCTGGACGAGGACAGGGCTGTTCTCGAAGATTCCTGCGACCCTTCCAGCCCTGGCACTCGGTGAGTTGTTTAGACAGCAGCCCCAGAGCAGACCAGGCAGGCGGCCTTGGGTGTCTGGGCAGGACAGCCCACCGCAAGGAGAGGAAGAAAGAAGTGAAGGACAGAGATAGCTCTGGCTCTGGGGAGAAGGGGCAGGCCGGCCCGGGAAGGAGGAGATAGAGGAGGAGGAGGAGGGGCTGCAGCTGGAGGGGCGGACAGACCCAGCCCAGAGCTCTGCGTGCTTCCTGTCGCCTGTCTCTAAACCCCTCCACATTCCTTCGGACCGCCAGACTGCCCGGACCGCTCTGCCGCCGCCTGCCTCCGAGGTAGGTCCGCTCAGCCACTGCCTGCCCGACGGCCTCAGCCCGAGTCCCCGGGAGGGAGGGCAGCCCTGCGGGTGCACATCTCGATCCCTCAGGGGGAGTCTCTCCCCCGCCCTTCCCTCTCTAGGTTCACAGGCGGCCTGTCTTTGCCCTCTTTGGGAATGTGGCAGCCTCCTCCTTTCCGGGGAACCGGATTCTGTCACCGCTGCAGCAGGGACTGGCCCCTGGCCGGCAAGCTGTCCTGTCCCGGGAACGAACCTTCTGGACTTGAGTCAGGGGCTCTGTTTTCTAAGAGTCTGCACAGCTGATGCTCTCTGAAAGGCAGAGGGGAGGCTTTTCTCTCGCTGATGCTCGGCCCCGTTTTCCTCATGCCGTCCTGCTTCTTCGCACCGTGGCACGCCCCCCACCCGGCTCCCCGGGGCGGTCACCGTGTCTGCACCGGAGCGAACCGCGGGGCGGGGGAGGCAAGACAGAGCCCTTTGGAGCACCCTCGGGAGCCCTTCCACACCCGTTTTGAGATGTGCAAACTCCACGCAGGAGCAGGTCCAGCCGTGGGGTGTTCTCGGGTGTTGGTCGTCTTCACACAGCCTCTCCCCGGCCTTCTCCACCCTCCCTGGCTCCTCCGAGGTGTTGACTGCACCTCTGTGTCCTGAAGGACAGGCACTTAGGGAGAGGGGGTGCTGAGATGAGTCCCCAAAATGAGAAAGAGGGAACCGAGAGGCACGCATGTTCTCCAGGGCAGGACCGTGTTTGCAACAGAGGAGACACTTTCCCCAGGAATTCTCGGGTTAAATTCCTGAACCCTCCGAGGCTGGTGCTAGGGTGGGGAGCAGACCTCAAGCAGGGGACAGGCTGTTGTAGGAGTGACCCTAGGTGAGCGACACCCCGGGATGTGCCTCCTCCACTTGTAAAGGAAGAGGATTCTTCTCTGGGGGACCTGGTGTCGTCTGACAGACAGTGTTTCAAGGAAGGTCTCTTGACTCAGTCCACAAACAGCCTTTGAATGGAGTCTGGAGGTTCCTGAAAATTGTAAGCCGTGAAGAGAGAGAGACAGGGCCAGGGCCAGGGCCAGGGAGACAGAGCGAGGTGTGCCACCACTTTCAGGCTTAAGATATTTCCAGAGGGACGGCTCTCCCCGAGGGTGGCCGGAGGGCCTGCTGGGGTGGCAGTGGGGAAGGAAACAGTTCTACAATGGGAGGGGCTGGGGAAAGAGAGTTAACCAGCAGCCATCAGCTGCCGCATCGACCGAGCCAGCGCAGGGGGAGGAGGGGTGAAGGGGGTGTCTGGAGAAGGGATCAACTTTTGAAACTGCCTCCAAGTCCCTCCCACCACTGACTCCTCTCTGCTGTGACTGGCGCTCGGAAGAATGCGGGTTGCCACGGTAACCTTTTTCAGGGTCTCTGCCTGCTGCTTGGGAGGGGCCGCTGAGAACTGGGAGGGAATCTCAGGTTCAATCCAACCGAGCCCCACCCCACCTCCAAGCCCAAGGACAGCGGCAAATTCTAGGTCCTGTCTTCCTGAGCCGTAGGGGCCCCGGGAAGCCCAGGGCTGGGGCAAACTCCCCAAAGCGGGAGTCTGACGCCATCAGCTTTTGTTCTCCCGGCTAGGAAGTGCATCTAACCCAGAGCTAAGCAGGCTTGTTTCTGAGCTCCAGTTCCGAGTTTGCTAAAGAGCAGCCGCAGCGGTCCCCTCCAGACAGGCAAGGGAGAGGTGGGGTGGTATGCAGCCAACCACCCTGCAAACCCATTGCTTCCTTCCACGTGATGGGTCTCAGAATTAACCGATTCCCAGCATCCAAAGAGCCGGTGAAATCATCCTGGTTTTTCCCCTCTGCCACCTGCAACGTTGGGGCTGTGTGTGTGTGTGTGTGTGTGTGTGTGTGTCGTAAAAAACTTTCCTTTTTTAAAAGCACTGACAAGCATGTTTTTTAAACATTATATCATTTGAGTTCTTTGCTTTTTCGGTACCAGGGATCAAACATGGGACCTTGCGCTTGCCAGGCAGGCACAGTGCCATTGAGCTAAATCCCCAGCCCTGTTTGTTTTGTTTTCCAGACAGGGTCTCACTATATAGTTCAGGCTGGCCTTGAACTCATTATGTAGCCCAGGCTGGCCCTGAACTCAAGGTGATCCTCCTGCCTCAGCCTCCCATGTACTGGGATTACAGGTGTGCACCACCATGCCTGGCTCAAATTCATTTTGATTTGGGGAACTCCTTGTGTATTTCCCTCTCATATCTTGTAGAAAGAACTCTGGCTACAGGTATAAACAGAAGTGTGTGTCCTTGGGCAAGACAGTCCCCTTTTCTCCGCTGTTTCCCCATCTGTTAAATGGGAGATCTAAGCATGGTCTCCACACACTCTTCCAGCCCGGCAGGCCTGTGACCCTAAACCCCAAAGGCTGGTTTGTCAGGAAGGGAAAATGACTCCCTTGAAGTCACCCAAGCAGCTGGTGACCGAGCTGTACCTGCGGCCTTGGGGCCGTCCAGATGTCCCCCTCCCAGCTGGGTTTGGAGCATGGCTCACACTCCGTCCTCTGTGAGGCACACATCCTGTGTCCTGTGGGTATTAACTGTGGCTATTGAGTGACTGGCAGCACTTCCTCTCCGATCTGCAGGGCTCTGTCCCAGCCCCACTGCAATGTCATTAGGCCCCCAGGCCCAGCAAATGTGCCTGATAAGTGGCTCATTTGCTGGCCATTGACTCCCTCCCCAACCTCTGCCTGCATGAGAGAGAAGGGAAGGCTGGCCCTGAGCTTCCTGCCAGCCTGGGGGATTCGTGAAGCTACCTCTTCTTAGCCCTCAGAACCTGGGTCTTCGCCTCCCTCCCAGCCTCAAGTGTGAAGCCAGGGACACCCGAACTGCGTAGGGCCAGGGCCAGCAAGTAGGGACTTGGCAGGATTATTTGGAAAAGCCACCTCTTGTTGGGGGGGGGGGCGTCTTCCGGGCAATCAGCTCTGCCCTCACCAGTCAACCCTTAGACCTTGATATGGGCAGGAAGGATATGGACAGCAACAACGACTCTCTCCAGAAGTGGGTCTTTTCAGGGACTGGTATTAACCCCTCTTAGGAATCCATTGGGGCCACTGTGTGCCAGCCATGGCATTGGGATCTAGGCTATCAGGTGACAGAAACAAGCAAGACAAACACCTAGAGATTTCTGAACATCAGACACCAGCTTGCTGTACGACCTGGATCGAGTTATTGTCCCTCTCTGAGCCTCCAGCTCATTGTCTCTAAAATAACAGACATTGGCAGAACTGTGTTGGGGATTCTTATGCCACTCCAGACTTTGGGGGTGAAGGTCGTGTCTGCCACGTGCACAGAAGGGGGAAGAGGAGGCGTAGGTGCCACGTGTCTGCTGCCTGGATCTCTTAGGGGTTCTCCCAGGCCACAGCCTGTTATTTCTTATTCCACCGGTGGTCACCCTGACGCGCCAGTGGCCCCTAGAGGGCGACAAGGAGAACGTCCATAGCCCTAGCACCATCCAGTTAGCCACAGTGACACGTGGCATCCCGGGAGAATTTATGGCATCTCAGCTGCTGATTCCAGCCTCAAACTCTGGAGCTGCCCCTGAGTTGCCCCCAGGACCTCTCCAATCCTAGGTGTTCACATCTATGCAGTTTCCCTTCCCTTGTTTCCTCCCAACAAGAAATTAGAAGTGAAACTGGGGAGTCAAGGTAGAAGTTGGAAGAGGCGATTCTTTACAACGCTTCTGCCTGAGCTAACTCAGGAAATCAGAGATAATTCAGCACATAGAAGGCTGAGGTAGGAAGGTCGAGGCCAGCTAGGGCGACACAGTGAGTTGAAAGGGACCTTAAGGACTACCATGCCCAAGAGTTTCCAGCTGTGTCTAGAAGAACCTAGAGATGTTCCAAGCTGCCCCAGGTTCCAAGTATGTAGAAGCCCCAGCCCCTAACTCTAGTCCTGTGCTAACTACTTTTGTTTTGTGTTTGTTTGCTTGTTTTGACACAGGGTCTTGGTATGTGTTTCAGGCTGGCCTTGTACTCACTATGTAGCCCAGGCTGGCCTCGAACTCGAAGCGATCCCCCTGCCTCAGCCCCGCCAGTGCTGGGATAACAGGCGTGCGCCAACATGCCTTGCTTTACCTACTTTTGCTTTTTAAATTTCAAGCTTATTTATTGAGTAGTTACATTTCCAAGTTTAAACAAATGCAGGCAATTTCAGCTGTCTGAAATACTGGGCGTCTGTAGAAGACATCATTCAGAGAGAGGAGCCTCTGCCATACGTAACTGAAGGGTGAAACGGCCTCCCCGTTGCACAGGCAGCCAGGGGAGCTGAGGTCCAGCGAGCAGGGGTTCAGTGTCTGGGGGCAGGGCTGACTGGCTCCCAGGACGTGGGCTCAGGAGCCCTGACTCCCACCTCACGTCTGTCTCTGATCTGGAGCAGTAGCAGGCGTGGCACTGTTGTCACCGGGCCTCACTGGCTGGATCTGAGCTCTGTGACAGCCCTGCCCATCACCCCTCTGCTCGTTCTGGCTCCTCCTGCACTCCTGGCTCCTGCTGGGCCTGGCACATAGCTTCTGCAGGCTTGTTTTCCTCCCTCCAGGCTTGTTTACCAGCAGTGTGTGAGTTTTGGAACCTTGTTTCCAAGGCAAGCAGTGGGACGGAGACGCCAGACTTGCGTCAGCACCTCCCTGAGAAGCCAGCTTGGGCCTGGCGTTCATTCTAGGGAGGCCGGGCTGGCCTCCCCCAAGCCAGCAGGGCCAATACCTTCTTTATTCTAGCCATCACCCCTTCCCCTTGGCCTGCAGACAAAAACCTGGGAGTTTCGCCCTGGATTCTTAAAAGGGATGGGGACTCTGGGATATTTGGGTTCTAAGATGCTCTTCCAACAGTATTGCTTACCTCTTCACTTGTAGTCTCTCCTGCAGATCACTCATGAGCCTTTCAAGGTGGGCATGTTGTTCTTTACGTTTGACGGATGGAGGAACTGTTTGAGCCTCACAGAGGCAAAGTGGATTTCTGAAGGTCACACAGGGTGGCAGGGACAGGATTTGAACCTGTGCATTCCGGCTCCTGAGCCTGTGAGCTTCCTTTTATGCTTTTGTGCTGTACTGTCTTTATAACCACTTGTCTACTCTGGTAGCCATTCTGGCCATTTGTGGCTGTTTGGATTTAAATGAATTAACATGAAATAGTTAAAAATTCCATTCTTCTGGGAACATTTCAAGTGTTCCTTAGTCACAGGTAGCCAGTGGCTGCCATATTGGACAAGGTGGATATAGAATATGAAGAATTCCTTTGGATTGCATTACTCCAAAGACTCCACTCCAATGAGATTTAACGATTGTAACTCAGATTCTAGGCTTCACTTCTGAGAGTCTATGATTCTGAGTCGCATAGGCTCAAATTCTGTGATTCTGAGAGTCCCCCATTCTGACCTTCAGTGACTTTTCAGTGTCCAGGGAGAGCCCAAAGGAGGCCCTTTATGTTCCAAGGGGCTGGCTGTACTTTTCCATCCCCAGAGTCTTTCCAAAGGGTGAGAAGTGACCTCCGTCCTGGGCCCTGCTGGCAGCCAAGGACGGGTTTTCAGCAGTCTCCAGAGCAAATAAAGGCGAAAGGAAGGCACTCGATGTACGGAACAGGAGGCCGATGGGGCGCGGTGTCTGCATTTAGTGGCCACCAAGCCAAAGGAAACACCGCCCCCACCAGGCCATTTTCCTCCAGTGCTGTGGAACAGCTCAGGCCAACTGGGCTCGGGTGACCACCTGGGAGGGAGTGAACGCCAAGGGCACCAGCGCTGGAAGGTGGGGAACATGCCAGCAACGGAGGGCGGCCTCCCAGCTCCTCACCCAAGCCCGCCACTCTGCACGGGGGTGTTGGTTGTCAGTCAGTCCTCTCTCTGGGCTCAGCCTTCTCATGTGTACTGTCGGACCTCAGTGGGGTGCTGCATTAGGAAGCCACTCTGGAAAGAATAAATCTATGTATGCATTGCCATACAATGCGAGACCGGGGGAGGGAGTTTGCACTTAACCGTGGTTTGTATGGAGGGGTTTGGTATGGTCCCTCGACACGCTAGGTCTAGGTTAGGTGTGCAGGAGACCACACCTGGCTGGTCGGGATGTTGGCTTTTGGCCCAGGGATCTGAATTGCCGGTGGTGACTGCTGCACCCCACTTTGCAGGTTGGTTGGTCCCCAGCTGCTTCGGCCAGTGGTGTTTTAGAGAACATTGGAGAGGGATCTGGTGGGTGTGCAGGAATATAGCTGGGAATATCCAGGAGAGCCGGTGACTTCCCTTCCCTCTCTGCCTAGCGTCTGAGGAGAAGGGCTCCGAATTGTGACGCGGCACTGGGCGGAAACTAAACTACGGAAAGCAGCTTCTCCTCTAAGACACTGCGTTCTGCTCTTAACAGTCCCTCCCGCACCCGCTGTCCGAGCATGAGCCCTGCTGGGCCCAGTGCCTGGAGGGGAGGCTGTCGAGATGGAGAGGCCTGGGCACTACCTGGCCTCCCCCTCACACACCTCACAGGAAGGTGGGGCTGGGACCCTCCTGGACCCCTACCTGTGCTGTCACAGGCTTTAGCAACTGTGAACCCCTGCACCTGAGAACCAGAGATGGGCGTCAGAGCTCAGAGGACGGGGGCGGGACAGCCAGAGGACAGCGACTCAACCTTTCCGGGCCACGGGCCAGAGAGGCTCCTTCCGCTCCGATGAGGGATGCAGACCTGGGGAGCGTTGGTCTTTTCAGCTCCTTAACCTGAGGCTTATTCCACTTCCAATTCTGCCTGGGCTCTTCCTGCACTGATGTGACATCCCTGTCACCGTGTCCCTGACAGGGGACTTTTTCCCACTACCTGCCAGTTTCACTCAGATCCTTCAAAGAGCGTCAGACAAGTCCTTCATTGATGGCTCCTCTTAGGTTCCATTGGTCCAAAGCCACGGGGAGGAGCTGTTTAGCGTGTGTCTTCCAAACGGAGAAGCAAGAGGGAGATTGTTTCCACTTGAGCCTGGAGGGAGACAAGTGAACAACTGTGTGAGGAGAAGAACATTCCAGAAACCGCCTGGACCCCTGTGGGAGTCGGGGCCATCTTGGAGCAGGACCAAGCTCCCACGTCAATTCCTTTAAATTCCTGTTGGTTTTAGTTCATTCACACTCCATGAAGTGGGGGCTGAGGACTTGTGTCTCTGCTAGCCCAATAAAGGGCTGATATTGCAGCCTGCTCCTGCTGCCCCAATCCAAGGGAAGGTGGGGGACACCCAAGGTGGGGCCATGTGCCAAGATCGGCATGTTGTGTGACTTTTGTTTCGTCTTTTGGTGCTGGGGATTGAACCTAGGGTCCTGTGCATGCTAAGCATGCCCTCTACTGCTATGCTACACCCAGCCTTGCCTATGATGTTGGGAGAGCATTTTGAGGACCCAGTCAGCACCTGTCACGTCACTTAGTCTGACACCTGTCAGTCGACAGAGGGGAAACAAATGTACAGTATTGGTCCCCAGGACTGTAATGAGGGGAACAAGAACCCCTGGCATCAAATTCTCAGCCCAGTGATTTTTTCCTTGATGTCACTGTGCTTGGCCAGTTGAGAAGTCTTGGAAGGAACAAGGGATGATGAACCTGATATGGAAGTTTCGGGTGATAAAAGAGAAAAGACATTGCGCCTACTGTCCTTGACGAAAAGTGGAGGCAGAAGGAGCAGGCTTGCTCTCTGTGGCTGAAGAGAGACAGGACCAGAAGTTTGAGAGGCCTGTTTGGATCTCTGTAAGGAAGAGCTTCTAAAGCTATTTGGAAATGGAAGTCCATTTAGTCAGCATAAGAAGTAAAATGTGCCCACCCACCTCAGCTCCTCTAGTGGGGATGGCATTGGGGGGGGGGGAGATGGCATTTTGGCATTGAATCATCAGAGGAGATCTGATCCGAGATTCTGTATAGTCATGAGTCTTAGAGTCTAGAGCTTGCCATCTAGAGACCGAGGTCTTAGCAGTGACCAGGGCAGGCAAGGGGAATCTTTCTAGATCTCAGCTACTATCCTCTCTGCAACATGTGGAAGTATTTGGGTAGTTTCCCTGGAGGACCCGAAGAAGTGCTGTCCCTTCTGGGTAGAATGGAGAGAGAAGTGGCCACCCTCAAGTTTCCACAGTCACAGCCCAAGACATTGTTTAAGTGTGGATCTCATTGTCTCAAATTGCCGAGGTTGTTGACTGATTTACTTCTCTCACTGCAGAGGGAGTGGGGAGAAGGGAAGGGGAGGAAGAGGAGGAGGAGGAGGAGGAGGAGGAGGGTTTAGAGAGTAGGGAAAAATAATCTTTGAATACGAGGCATTGAAGGGCTCTTAATTAAGCATTGCCCAAATTTGATTAATTAGTCTATTACTTTCACTGCATCACTTTTTATTCTATTTTGTTTTTTGAATCACTTTTTAGAAACCTAAAGAAATGTATTTGGAAAGAAGAGTTAGCCCAGGATTGGTGGTGCATGCCTGACTCAGGGAGGTAGGGCAGGAGGATTACAAGTTTGAGCCCAGTCTTGGCAATTTAGCTATTTAATGAAATCCTGTCTCAAATTTTTACAAAAGGAGGATGGAGCTGGGGAGGTAGCTCAGTGTGAATGTCCTAGGTTCGATCCCCACTACCAAATAAAACATAAAACACACACACACAAATAAATAAATATATATATATATCTATATATATCTATATATAAAAGGCTTTTATATTGTTACCAAAAATGGAAAACTCCGTGCCTTGTCATGAATAGAAGGAAACTGTAAAAATGAACACAAAGAAAACAAAACGGTTTATTCAGTTGCAGCTGGATCCCGTTTCCTGTGGCGAAGGACTGCTCTCTGTTAGAAAGGAAGACGAGGGACGGGGATTTAGCTCAGTGGTTCCGCCGCCTGTCTCAAAAGCTCAAGGACCTGAGTTCAATCCCAGGTACCCAAAAAAAAAAGAAAGAAAGGAGGACGGATGAGCAGCCGAGCTGTTACACACCACCTAACCCTGAGCCGAGACTTTCTCCTTGTAGTCAGGACTGAGTGGAACCACCTGCCTCTCCTGTCTTTCCCCGTGACTGAACAAGTGTCCTCTAAAATCACCTTGTAAGCCTCAGTCGCTCGGGAAGGAACTCCGCAGGAAGCTCCTCACTGTCTCGGTCTCTCCTCCCTGCAGGGCTGCCAGCACCATGAGGGCCTGGATCTTCTTCCTCCTTTGCCTGGCCGGACGGGCCTTGGCGGCCCCCGTAAGTACCTGAAGATCCATCTCCTCGCAAGGTCTCTCCTTCTGTTGCCGGCTCTACAGCTCCTGAACCTGCCGACCCTGGGTGCAGAGAGGGGACAGGAACTTCCCCATCTCAAATTAGTTACCATTTTTTAAAAACATGAATCCTTTTTCTTAAGCCAGTAAGATCAGGAGAAAAATTGGAGTAAGGTCCCCTGCGTAGGGGTTCCAGAGAAGATTGGAAAAGGAACTTCGTAGCAGTCAGACCTTCCAGTAATGGACTAGGAAGTGGCCTCTTTGTCTTACGAGGAAATCAAGCAAGCGGTCAGGGATGTGGGGATGGGGGTGGGAAAGGCATTAGCAGAGAATCAAGCCCCACAGAGCGGAGGGGTTAGACTCAGAATCAGTGACAAGCAACAGACTCCAGTCTGACTGCGCTACTGGGCAGGCTCTGAAATGGGGCCGTCCAAATGAGTCAGCTCCAGCAGTTTTCATATCTTGAGAGAATGTGCCAAGAAGATTTAAAAACATAGTTAAAGAGAGCCAGACTGGCCGAGTGTAGGTCCTGGACCTGCTGCTTGGCCAAGGGGGAATGGGACAGACCCCCCTGATGGACAGGGACAGTCCTGATGGGCAGTCACTCCCGGGGTTGCGCTCAGCGGGACAGGATGGCTAACCAAAGCCAATCCAGAAGCCGCCCCCAGGAGAGGAGGAGTCAGGACGAGGCAGGCAGCCCCAGTGGTTTCTTTCCACCTGGGATTCCCTCCTCTCTGCACTGGGAGGTGGGTGGCAGACCCAGGCTGTCTTCCAAAGCCTGGTAGATTTTGACAACACACTTGGCAAGGTTGGCATTAATTTTAGAAGCAGCCCCAACCAATTAGGGACCTCAAAGTTGTCTGCTATCTCACCTCTTCCTACTCTTAAGTTGAAATGGCAGAAGGAACTGGCTAATAGGAAGAATAATAGTATCACGCCATGGGGAGGACCCGATATCTATTAAAATCCACAGTTCATCCCCTTTGGCTGTCAGTTTTCCTATCTGTACTACCAGGGAGTTGATGTGAAGCAGTGCTTTTTCAGATTTTACTGGTGTTCAAAGCAGCAGGCATGCTTTGCAAGCTAAACCTTAGATAGGCTGTAGGTACAGGCATAGATTATAACTCCAAAGACCTTAGAGAGAACCAGAAAAGGGCACCTCCAGGTGTCTGGGAAGCGACAGCTAACGGACAGGCTCTGAGATGTTATCTGAATGAATCTGTGCCAAAGGTTTTCATATCTTGAGAGACCATGCCTGTATGAAATATATAAAATACAGAATACATGTCAAATACACACAAGGGAGCTGCTCCAGGTTCCATGGCTTCTCCTGGACCCAGTCCCCAGCATGGCGGCCCCTGGGGCACCACCTTGGGATTTCCACCCCGCTGCTCTCTGCGGTCCCCCAGCTTGTGTGGCAGCCTCCGGGTCATTTCAGAGGTGAAGCTGACCTCCCTGCACCCCGCTTTCTCTTCCCAGCAGCAGCAGGAAGCCCTACCTGATGAGACGGAGGTGGTAGAGGAAACCGTGGCCGAGGTGGAGGAGGTCGGTGATGTGGAAGGAGGAGCCCCAGCCCCAGCCCCTCTCTTCCCGTCCCTTCCCTGGGTGACCGTACAGCTCCTGTGGGTCTCCATGCTGGCCTGGGGCATTTACCTTGCTCGTGTGCACCCACGGACGCGGCGCTCCTGTAAATCCTGAGTCCCCCACAGCCCACACACTGCTGGATGTGTTCAGACCTTCCAGGGAACCCTACACTCGGGAGCCGTCACTTTCAAACACTTTATTTTTCATTTTTTCTTTCAAGATCACCCCAGTTTCCCCTTATATAGAACAGATGAACGGGAGCTGCTTAGGTTGCTCAGCACGGGCAGAGGCTTTGGAATCTTTTTCTTTTCTTTTCTTTTCTTTCCTTCTCTTTTCTCTTTGCAGTCGTAGAGATGGAGCCCAGGCAGGCCTTTTGCACTGAGCTACATCCCCAGCACTTTTCAAATGTTTTCTTATTTTGGGACAAGATCTCGTAAGTTCCCCAGACTGGGCTGAAACCTGCAGTCCTCCTGTCTCAGCTTCTCAGAGTGCTGGAAGTACAGGCGTGTACCACCATGCCTGGCTTTGGCATCCCTTCTTGCCCTGAGACCTTTGGTGGGCTCCAAGGCATCTCAACGGGATTTCAAGGCACTATTAAACAATATAAGATTAATACTAAGTTAACTTAATAAATTAATTAAAAAATTAATATAGTAACAATAAATGTAAGAGGAAATCTACGGTTTGTTTGTTTTTTCTTTTCTTTTTTTGGTACCGGGGATTGAACTCAGGACCTTGCACTTGTGAGGCAGGCAGCGGAACCAGTGAGCTAAATCCCCAGCCCCAAGAGGAAATCTAAATTCCTGACCGTGGCTTTTACGCTGTGACCTGGGCCTTGCCCGAGTTTCCATCTTGTCCCCCACTGTTCCTTAGGGTCCCTGAACTTTCAGGGAGAGCCCCTCTCTCATGGTCCCCTCTGCAGGCCTGGGGTGGGGACGGGGGCCCTGGACTCATTGTTTTTCTTCTCTTTCAGGTACCCGTGGGTGCCAACCCTGTCCAGGTGGAAGTCGGAGAATTTGAAGACGGTGCTGAGGAAACCGTCGAGGAGGTGGTGGCTGAAAGTAGGTCCTTCCCTGTGACTTCCCTGTGACTCAGCTGCTCTCGTCCACCCTTGGCTGCCTGGGCGTGGGCCTGGGCCTGACAAGGCCTCTGTGAGGTCCCTGCCCATGGAAGTGCAGGGTGGGCTGCTCAGTGGCTGGGGGAGGCTGCTCTGACTGGGAGGCTGGGAATGCTCCCGGACATGCAGTCCCTGGAGTCTGGAGAGATCTATTTATATATAGCCAGGGCATCCGTGCTGAGTGGCCGGAAAGGAAGCTCCCTGGCTCGATGTGTCCTTCTCCCCCGCTGCTCCTGGCCCCACTCCCGTAGTTGGGTTTCACATTCCCACCGGGTCACTGGTCACAGCTGGTCACGGAGCTCTACCACGGCCTCTGGCACAGTCCCCTGTAGAAGCATCTCTGGGAACAGAGGTCAGGAGCTTCCATGCTCAAGCACATATCTGCCCTAGACTCAGCCCGAGGAAGTAAGGCTGTGAGGAAATCAAACCTGACATAACTCACAATGCCGCCCTCGGAGGTGGTGCCACAGCGAGAGAAATGAGCTGGGGCTTAGGCTTGAACAGTCGGGTGGAGGCGGCTGTACCCCAGGGGTGGAGAGCATGGGCTCTGCAAGCAAACCGACCAAGGTCTGCACCCCGGCTTCTCTGGGGCAACTTGTGCAGCTCCTCTGAGCGAAGGTCTCCCCATCTCTAACATGAGAAGGGTGGGGATGGCAGATGCTTGCCCCAGGGGTCTGGGGAGGGCTACAGGAGAAAGGCACTTGGGGCCTGCAGAGTGGGTGCCCCATAAAGGACAATTACAGTATCCAGAGTTGAGCATAAGGAGAAAACGGCTAGGTCAAGCCCGGTCCCGAGGGGATCACTCAGGGGCGTCTGCACTGAGCTTGGCACAAGAGTGTTTTGTTGGAGGAGAGTCACATTCCCTCCCCACTCCATGCCCACCCCATCCGGTGTTTACCAGGCACAGCTGGGATCTATTGTCCAGTGTGGGCCCCAGGCTCCTCTTCCTTTTCCTTTGGGGACACTTAAGTCTGTTTTGTTGGACTCGCAGCTCCCTGGAGCTATGACAATGGCCAACTTTCTAAGCCATTCTATAAAGTGGTCTAGAATCCAGAAATGCCTCACTGAATGACTCACCTGAGAGCTGAGAACTCAGTCACTGGGGTGTCCATATGGATGGCATCTGGTGTTTCTGGGTCCCACATTGAGCTTCTAGCTCTGCAGAAGTGCCTGGTCCTGACCTTCCATTGAACTCTAATCCTAGACTGAGCCTACTGCTCCCTTAAAAGCTGATTGCTAGGCTCAGTGGGGGCGCAGGGAGGATGCCCAGACCCCAGAGTGGGGCTCCAGCCAAGGGCTATCTGCACAAAGCTGCCTGGACCAGCTTGGGCGGATGAGCTAGCTTGGGTGTGCTAACCCGGTGCCCTGTGTCCCAACAGACCCCTGCCAGAACCACCACTGCAAGCATGGCAAGGTGTGCGAGCTAGACGAGAACAACACCCCCATGTGTGTGTGCCAGGACCCCACCACCTGCCCTGCCCCTGCCGGCGAGTTTGAGAAGGTAAGGGCTGTGGCATGGTGGGAAACCTGTGGCATGTGTACCACAGCGGGTACACAGAGCCCTCTGTCAACATGCGAGCCAAGTGTAGGAGCTGTTTTTGCTAAACCAAAACCTTAGTGTTCAGGTTTAATTGCAGTGTTGGCACTTTGTGATAAATAAGTGGGTTTGGGGTTGCAGTTTGGACACTCAGTCTTTAAAGGTTAGCCATCCCTGGGCTGAGGGACTGGGGCCGTAGGAATATAGCATGTCTGCCCAGATAACTGGGTTTGGTGGCTCTTCAGGGCAACTCCAGGCTCAGCATTCCCCTTGCTAGACCCAGCCACAGCAGAAAAGTGAGCTGAGGCAGATGAGGCGCTGCCTGCCTCTGCGTCTCCCCAGCCACCAGCGAGAATGTAATCGGCACTGTCAGGTTCCAAGCTCTATGCTGGACTCGGACTCTTGGGACTCTAGAATTTCAAGCTCTATGCCAGACTGAATACATTCTCATCTGAGACTCCATGCTCTGTACCTTAGCAGGGTATCACGTTCAAAACTGTGGGTCCTGGATCAGATCGAAGGTTCACATCAAGCCTCACCTCCATCACTTGTTAGCTGTAAGATCCTAGCTAAGTTCCTGAGACTTTTCACATCTCAATTTTCTCATATCTAAAGAGGGAATAAAAATAGTCCTTAACTACTAGGGTTGTTGAGGGAATTTGTTAATGCCTGCTACTAAATAAGTACCAGTAAGTGCTACTTGTGTTCAAATTATCTCTCAAATCTGTCTATTCTATCCATCCATCCATTCATCTGTCCATCCATGGATCCATCCATCCATTCACCCATCCATTTGTGCATCCATCCATTCACCCATCCATCCATCCATACATCCATGCATCCATCCATCCATCTATCCATCCATCCATCCATCTATGAATGCATCCATCCGTCCATCCATCCATGCATCCATCCATCCATGCATCCATCCATCCATCCATCCATCCATCCAATTGAAGTAAATATTTTTTGAATACCCACTCATGTCAACCATTGTACAAGTAGCAGTTCAGTCAGGGCAGCAAACCTAGTACCAGCCTTGTTCCCACAACCTCCCATTCAGCTTCTTCCTCAATCTCTCTACAAGATAATATAGCTCCTGGGTTCCAAACTTTAGCATCATTTATTGTTAACTCTTCCCTTCTCTAACTCCCACCTCTGTATCCTGGTCACCAAAGCCCAGCAATTTTCCCTCTGCAGCAATATGTGAACATTACTAAATAAGTATCCGCTGAGACTCCAAGGACTCAGCATGCAGCTGTACTCAGAGCTAAGTTCTATACATATCTCGTAAGGATACATAGCCAGATCATAAGAGGCAGAGGCACTGGTGATACGGAGGAATCTCCGCCTGCTCTCTCCTTCCCTTGAGGGGGAGGTCACACAGACCTCACTCTTACCCCAGCTACAAACATGCCACACGTGAGTGATGCTTCTGCCCTGAAAAGCCCACACGAGACTCAGCCTCTGGAGTTTTCACTGGGCACGGCTCATGGAGGTACCCTTGGCCCTGCAGGTGCCAAGACCCCAGCCTCTCAGAGGAGAGCAGGTGGTCAGCACAAAGCATGTCACTGTCCCCAAAGTCTGGGCACAGTGAGCCTCCGTGCTCAGCAGGGAACGGCCCAGTCACTGGGCAGGGCCTTGCTGCCTAGCCAGGTCCCCAGACACGAGCCGAGGGCTAGCCATACACGCTGGCCTTCCCAAGGGTGATGGCCCAGGCCTGCTGTGCTCTCTTCTTTGTTCCCCTTGTCTTTTCCCTGTCCCCACCTTTAACTCGTCCTTCACGTGTCTCCCCACGTCTCCCCTTGGCTCGGTTGCGCCCTTGTTCTGAGAACATCCGTGGCTCTGAGCATGGGCAGGACACTGGCCTGCAGCCCCGTCCTGGCTGCACCACAAACTCACCGTGGGACTGTGGGGAAGTCTCAGTCCTGGCTTGGCCTTCAGTGTCCCCATCTCTGAAGTGGGCAAGGATGGGCGCACCGGCAGGAGGCTCTGGGAATCAAGGAGGGGTGCCCTCTGCTTGGCCACAGGTATGCAGCAATGACAACAAGACCTTCGACTCTTCCTGCCACTTCTTTGCCACCAAGTGCAACCTGGAGGGCACCAAGAAGGGCCACAAACTCCACCTGGACTACATCGGGCCTTGCAAATGTGAGTCCAGCCTCTGGTCTCTCCAGCCTCCTGGTGCTGGGTGGTCTTGGGCAAATGTCATCCCCTCTCTGAGGCTCCGGGATCCGGTTTATAAAGGGAGATGATTATCTGTGAGTAGGTTCTCCTCAACTCTGAGTTCAGGACACAAGAAAGGATTAAGTAATTGTGGGAGCACCAGATCCCAGAGGATTTCTGGAGCCTCCCACTGGCTCCCACGACGATCGCACTGCTTTTCTGACGATGCAGATGGACGCTCTTTTCTAATTTCCAAGTTCCCAAGTCTTCCCTGCTTCAAGACTGCACGTGCAGTTCAACCTAGGCCTGCCCAGTATTTTAAAATATTTGAATTTGAATGCTTTAAAACAGGAATGTGCCCGTCAGTTTCTCTTAGGCTGTCATTCACTACTGCCATCTCCTTGGGCCTTTTTCTCCATCCCAGTCCTGTCCACCTCCTTAGGTTGTATGACAGCCACATTCTCCCAGAAACCTGGGAGCCAGTGCCCGGGGGGACAGGACACCGGGGTGTGGTGTGGCTCGTGGTCCGTGGTGCCAGCTGCAGTTCAGCTGGCCCAGGCACCATCCTCCCTGTCATTCACGACACCGAGACCCCACGTGCTCCCGCTCCAAGACAACCCCCGTTGTATCTCTGGGCCATTTGGACATCAAGTGGGGGTGCGGAGAGCCACTCACTGCCCCAGGTGTGCAGGTGCAGAAAGGTGGGGGCAGGAAGCAAGGTCCTAGTTGGATTTCGTCTTATTCTCCTCACGGGGCCCAGGTGTGACGCGGGAAGGGCAGAGTGGAGACATGCTTGCTGGAGGAGGAATATGGACGGGAGTCCTGGGGCAGAGGCAGGCATGCTCCAAGGAGCCTTTACCAAGTGGCTTCTGCTGGCCTCTCAGGCACATGGCCCACTCCAACTCCTGCCCCACCGACGGTGGTCCTGACCCACAGGGTCTATAGGTCCACAGGGGAGGGGACCACATCCCCTGACGCCCCCCAGGCAGGCTTGTTACCCCGGATGCTTGGTGAAGCTCTGCCTCCGTGACCTGGAGCAAGTCCCATCCCGGCACCCTGACCTCTAATAAGCGCAATAAGCGAGCGGACTTGAATGAATCCTCCAGGCCGACATTCCGGGACTCTAGGTTCCAGGGGCCAGGACGGAGTCCTCGTCTCTAAGAAAGTTCTGGTGGTTAAGAATTCACCATTCCCCTTTTTCCGACTGCAGCTGCCAAGTGGGGCCCAGGATGGGTGTTATTCTTCAGCCCCTTGGCTTCAGTTGCCTCCCAGCATTTGGGCCTCACCAGTGTGGGGTCAGGCTCTGCAAGGGTCACCAGCAGAGCCTTCACCCTGAAAGGCGCAGGCCACTGGGGTGGGCCGCATCCGCAGCAGATGAGCTCAAGGCCTTGGAAGAGGCAGCCGTGGATTTGCATCTTCCCGCCCTGAAGCCATGTCTGGTCCCCTGTCCGGTCCCCCCCACCCCCCTTCGCTCACCTCCTGTGCAGAGATGGCTCGGAGCGGGTAGGTGATGACATGGCTGGGGCAGGGAGAGCGAAGCCCGGCCTGATCTACACTGTGTTCTGGACCCTAGACATCCCCCCCTGCCTGGACTCTGAGCTGACCGAATTCCCCCTGCGCATGCGGGACTGGCTCAAGAACGTGCTGGTGACCCTGTATGAGAGGGAGGAGGACAACAGCCTTCTGACCGAGAAGCAGAAGCTGAAAGTAAGCAGATCCTTTCCAGCCAGGCCCCCGTGCCAGCCTGGCGGGAGATCCAACCCCACCCCTGGGCGCCTGGAGCCGGTGCCCCTTGCCCCCTTCCACACACTGCTCCTCCCGGCCCTGGAGGCCCCTAGCAGCTGTGACATCCGAGAAGTCCTGTAGGAAGAGGACCTGCTCCCTTTGTTTAGCCCAGTGATAGACATGGAAACAAACAATCCTATTCCTTTCTCCTTCTGACTCTGGGGTCTCACACTGTAATGGGCACGTCGAGCACCCTGCAGTGCTGGTGAAAGGCAGATTCCTCAGCCTCACTGGCGTCTTAGTGAATCAGGGAAGCTGCCTTTAATACATTCCCGGGCGATTTCAATGTGGGGAGCTCTAGAGGGCACTCTCGGAGACCATCCTGGGCCTCCACTTTTGGGAATGAAATGCCACCCCTCATCGTGAGCTTCACGCAGCTTTTCAGAGGTGGGGGGGCCTGGCTGGCCTGGTCAGTCTCCCCCGGACCCAGGTCGCCAGCATCTCTGCCCCCACAGGTGAAGAAGATCCACGAGAACGAGAAGCGCTTGGAGGCCGGAGACCACCCTGTGGAGTTGCTGGTGCGAGACTTTGAGAAGAACTACAACATGTACATCTTCCCCGTGCACTGGCAGTTCGGGCAGCTGGACCAGCACCCCATTGACGGGTAGGACCCCGGGACCTCAGGACCGCAGGGTCCACCCAGGCTTGGCCCTGGAGCAGAGGGTTGGGGGTCAAGGCCGTAGGCTCCCTGGATGCAGCCAGAGGGCCTCTTGAAGTCTCCACACCCAGCCCTGAGCCCACAGTTTGCCTGGGGCAGAAGGAACAGGCATCCAGAGAAAGGAGGCAGATGGGGTGGAGGAAACACTGAGACTCTCTCATGCCAGGGCCGGAAGTCAGCAGAGCTGAAAATGCCCCCTTCGGTCTGCAAGTGCTGGGGCTCTTATACATCAGCTGACGGCAGGTTAGGAAGACGCAGACTCCAGGGTGCTGGGCGCAGGTGGGGCAGCCTGCAAGCTCAGGTCCCGCAGTAGAAAGTGTGGCAGCAACATCTGGAACTCAGGCTGAGCACCTGGATCCCACAGGGACACGGGAGCCTGGAGGGAGGCTTCCTGCGGGGACTGCACATCTGAGAATGTGCTCCAGCATGGCCCGGGAGCCTCCTCCTCCTCCTCCTGTCTTAGAGCTGTAGCTGGCCTTATTTGTGTCCCTGCCCCTTCCTGGACCTCTGTTTCCCCACCAGGATAGCGAAGGGGAGTGTTCCTTCCAGTTCAAACATGGTGCGGTGCCTTCCATGATTTGGGTGGGCTTGGGAGGTCTGGAATTTAGAAAGAAAGCTGGAGCCACAGTGCTCTCCAGAGTCGCTGGGTTGCCGGGGAAGAGTGCCCTAGGTCCGTGGCAGGGAGGGGACAGATCCAGGATCTCAACACCTTGCCCTCCACGCCATAGGCGGGACTCACCGGCCCTGCTCCTCTCTGTGTGTGTGTGTGTGTGTGTGTGTGTGTGTGTGTGTGTGCGTGTGTGTACAGGGCTGCTTTTCTCACGCATGCTCACTCCCGCCTGGCCCTGCCCACAGGTACCTGTCCCACACCGAGCTGGCCCCACTGCGCGCACCCCTCATCCCCATGGAGCACTGCACCACCCGCTTTTTTGAGACCTGTGACCTGGACAATGACAAGTACATCGCCCTGGAGGAGTGGGCCGGCTGCTTCGGCATCAAGGAGCGTGAGTGTCTGACCGCAGCTCTGACCGCAGTGGCCGTGGGTGGTGGGCACTCTGGCCGTCTGTGTGTCCGTCCCCTCTGGGCCCCGTCTGGGTGTCTCAGCCTTGATCTGTCGGTGTCTCCTGGATCCTTTTCTGTCCCTCTGGAGGACCCTTTCCTTTCCTGCCTCAGCCATCAGCCCTCATTCTGTGCCAAGCACGATTCTGGGAACTGGCGGCCGTGGAGAGGAAACAGGAAGTGTGACTTGGCCAAATGTCAGAGAGGGACAAGCAGAGGTTGAGGCCACCTGGGTGGTCCCCTGGGCCCTGCTCCTGTGGATGGGAGGGAGCTGGCGACTCCTTGGGAAGCGCACCGCTCAGACACAGCACCTCATTTTAAATTCCATCCTCTCTTTCCTTGCTTTGCAGAGGATATCGACAAGGATCTCGTGATCTAAATCCAGCCTCCTTCCACAGAACCGGATCCTCTCTCTTTGACCTGTTCCCTCCTGTTCCCCCCCAAGTTTAAAATGTTTGGATGGTTTGTCGTTCTGCCTGGGGATAAGGTGCTAACATAGATCTAAGTGAAGACATTAACGGTGCTAAACGTGGAAATCGTAACCAAGTCCTGACATCTAATTTGTAATTTGACTCCGGAGGCCTTTGGCTCACGTGTTAACAGTCCTGTTGCCTTTCTCTCGCCTTCTGCAACACTTCCCAGTGTCTACTGGCTGTGGTGAAAAATCACCTGCTCCAGTCTGCTGCACACACATTACATCCTCAGACTTTCTCTGTTATTCTGCTAACATTCACCGAATCAGACTTCGAGTTCATTTTATTTCAGGGTTTGGGCTGCCTGGGGTCTCCCCAGGGGCCACAGGTGAGCAGAGGGAAATAACAGAAGATATTGGCCAGAGTGTTTGTGGGGTAGAGGACTGGTGGTGGAGAGATCCCTGCAGAGCCAGGGAGAGTGAGTCCCGTTTGCCCGGGCTGTGGCTGAGAGACGGTCTGGGGTTCATTCTGAAGACGCACGCACCCCGCTTCCCGCCATTTCCGCCCTCGCTCTGCCGAGCAGTTTCTTTGCACACCAGGCGGTTTGTTCAGACTTCGGGGTGCCGCAGCCAGTGGTTCTCTGCCGGGTAGAGGAACGCGTGCTACAGGTTTCTTCCCTCCTAACTTCTTGTGGAGATTTCAGGCTTCTTCTCAGGGGCTCCAGGGGCTGGAGGCTGTTTCAGGCAGGAAAGGCAAAATCCAGAGCGAGACATAGAAAGTCGTATAAAGCAGAAAAAGTGGAGTTGGTGAACTGGTTGTTCTTGTTGTTGTTTTTTTGTGGGTTTTTTTGTATTTAGAAGGCTGTCATAAGTGTTCTAGCATATTCCACCTTTTCTTTCCCCATTTCGTCTTCTGTTAATCAAGAGAAACTTCAAAGTCAATGGGATGGTCGGATCTCACAGGCTGAGAACTCGTTCACCTCCAAGCATTTCATGAAAAAGCTGCTTCTTATTAATCATGCAAGCTCTCTCTCCATGGTGGGAAGAGTTTGACAAATCTTTCAAAATAAAAAGTAATAACTTAGAAACTGCCTTCCTGGGTGATTCTGCATATGTCTTAGTCTTAGGCACTTTTTTACCCAGACACAAAGATATAGGGATGCACAAGAGCACAAAAATGCACAGTGCGGTGTTGTCATGCACGCACCTGCACACGCATGGGAACACTCGGGATCCAGGTTTCCTTGGAGCACTCGTGTAGCTAACATTTTTTTTTTTTTTTTTTTGGTACCAGGGATCGAACTCGGGTCCTTGTGCTTGCACAGCAGGCATCGAAACTACTCAGCTAAATCCCCGGTCCTTAGCTAACTTTTTAAACTGAATGACCGATGGCCTCACCCCTTTTTATTATCGCACTTATTTTTAGCACCAGGCTAAGCAACAATCTTGCATTAATCTCATTAATCATATATTTGTTTATTCAGTACTGCTGTGTCTGTTCTATACCAGGTTCCACACCAGGCACTGGGGACACAGTTGAGGTAAAACAGACAAAGCCTTTGTTCATGTGGAGTGTATACTCCAGGAAAGGAATTATTAAATAATTGTACCACTAAATATAAATTGCAAGGTATCATAGGTGCAATGGAGGAAGAGCATAAGAGATCTTGAGTGTGTTTAACAGCATTCTAGTATTGTTATTATCCTAGCGTTATTGTATTAGTTACAATATCAGTTATGCATAGAACTAGTTTTATGTTAGTTATAGTAGATACATTATATACCTAGTATTTTCCTAGCATCATTCTAGCACCCCACAGTCTCATATGGTAGTCACCATCTATCTGTGACTGTTTAGATTTTTTTTTTTTTTTTTTTTGGAGACAGGTTCTCACTTTGTAGTTCAGGCTGACCTTGAACTCACAGTGATCCTCCTGCCTCAGTCTCCTAAGTGTTGAGATTATAGGCATCCTCCACTCTGCCCAGATGATCACCTTCTTATTACAAAAAAATTTGTTACATGTGTGCAGTACATGATTTCATTAGTCCTGTGGAGTTGGTACATGCGCATAACACATCTTAATTCTTTTATCATCCCCTTCTCCTCCCTTCTGCATTCCATCTCCTGGTCCCCTGCCAAAGCTTGTCTGTCCTACTAGCATGATGTTTCAGGTATTCAGGAGCTGAGGCTCCCCTTAGAAAAGGAGAAACGGGGCCAAAACCGCTCGGTTGCGATGAGCCACATAGCAGGGTCTTTAGATGTCAAGCTGAGACGTTTCCCCATCTTATATTTGAGATGACTAAAATAATACAGTCTGAAAGCAAAACAAAACAAAAACCAGCTGGCTTTTGTTCTCCTGATCTGTGGATCTGACCAAGAGATGGATGGAGGTAAACGTCAGCGCTGAGTCCATGTATGAGGCCCGCAGGCTCCGGCCTTCCCAGCCTTTGGTCTCAGGAGTAAGGCAGGTGGACCTGCACTGGCTGGGCTTCCACTGTGGCTTGCAGACAGTGCTCGTACTGTCCATTCACTCAGCAGCACTCCGGAGAGCAACGTGAGCACAGCAATGAACAGCCACGGGCGACGACGTGGACTGGACCCGTGGAGACAGGTCCTGGCCCTCTGGTGAGGGATGCAGTCCCATGCCCTGCTCAGCCTGGCAGTCATTCACTCCCACCACATCTGCTCTGCCTCGGTCCCCTGACGTGCAGTGAGGCCGGCTGCCTTGGCTTACAGTGAGGCTGGAAGGAAGGGGTGAAGGGTTGTTGGAACCTGGAGCTTCCACCTCTGTCTCAGAGTTCCCCTGTGGGGACCTGAGAGTCTTCAAGGAAGAGGCAGTGTCAAAGAGACTGGAGGCAAGATGCAGCCCGGGCCTGGAAGGGCAGTGGAGGGAGGGCTGCACCCCCTCCCGTTTGCGGCAGAGCTAACTGGGCCTCAGCCCCGGAGTCCCTCCCAGCAGCGTTCTATTTCCGCTTCCTGCAGGTGTCCTCCCTATAAAGCTAATCACTGACATGCACACACATGGCACACACACACACACACACACACACCCCTTAACATCAAAAGAAATTGTACCATTCTCTTAGCTGAAAGATCAACTTCATTTACCATAAATAGAGATACACCTCAAAGATAAGTACAATGACAAAAGCAATGTTGTGCAGGCATGGGTGTGCCCCACACTCTGCCTCTTGCCAAAGGAAGCACTCTTGGAGACGTCCTGCTTCATAATCAGATAGTCCAAAGGAGAACTGAATTACAATGCATTCAATATTAATTTATGCCAATAACTCCTAAAGTCACCTCCCCAGCCAGGAGGGCCGTCCCTCCCTTCTGGTAATTCCTCAGCACTAAAGCTCCTCTAGGCCCCCAGTATCATTTGTGGAGGCGCAGTTGGCCTGGCCTTTGAGGAAAATGGAGGTGCCCAGGTCAAGGGAGCCAGAACATAGATGCCTCCCTCCCTTTCAGCAGCTGCAGCCGGAGTGACTCAGCACCGAGCTGTTTCCATATCTGAAAATCCTGATAACAGCCGTCCCTGCCTTAGCAGTGGTTTGTCTACCATGGAGTAAGCCAGTAAATCATCATCTCAGCCCACCCTCCAGTCCCGACCGGGCTCCCTCTTCCCCCCCTTGCACCTCATGCCTGGCCCCCCCAACCACGCTACAGGAGACTCTCCGTTGTTAGACTCCAAGGGGTAAACACATCCAGCTGGAAATGCAAAAAGAGAGTACTCTAAGGAGGCCGGCCGGGCTAGGTCAGGAATCTAGTGCAGAGGAATCTAGTGTAGGAATCCAGTGCAGAGGAAGTGGCTTCCCTCCTGAGGCTCATTCAGGCCCCGCTCCTAATGACAGAGGCCAGAGGATGGAATGGTCCTGTCTTCAGAGACTCCAGACCTCCCTCGCTCCTTTTCTGAACAGCAGGCCCTCGGGGCGGGCAACCCCAGACCAGTCTCCCACTTGCGACCCAGTTTCCAGAGGGTTCCCCGGAGCCAGCGGGACCAGCAGCTTCCCCGCCGCCAAGTCCCGGCCCAGGCGTGCTGAGGAGGCTCAGGCCGCCCCCTGGTGTGGCTGGAGAGAAAGGCTCCCTGAACTGTGAGAATCGCTGTGGGCCTCTCATCTTCAGACGGGGAAACCGAGGTTCGGAGAAACAGAAAATACGTCCTCTAGTGGGATTGCCAGATAAAGCATAAAACTCCCAGTGAGATTCGAATTTCGAAGAAGCAACAAAACATTTAATACAAACGTGTCCCGTAAAATGCTTAGGACATAGTTCTACTGAAAGAATTATTTGTTGTGCATCTGAACGGCTTCGACCCAGACCCAGGGCTTCCCCATCCGACCCTCCCAGTGTCTTTTGCTCATCGTTCTGCCCAGTACACAGCAGGGCCGTAGGAAATGCTTGTTAAAATCATTCTTTTATCAGTGAAATGAAATGCAAGAGCTGCATTTTGTGTGTTGGCTAATTTGGCAATATTCTCCATCTGTCTGAAGAAGTCTGGGTCTCCTCCGTTCTGTATTTGCCGAGGGACACAAGTGGAGAGGGGTACAGTGCACGGAGCAGGCGACCCCACACAGGTGGCACCGGCAGCCGGATTTTACGAGACGGTGAACAGCGCTTTGTGATGTTCTGGACAGAGCTAAGGTCAAGCGTGCCTTGGTTTACGGCATCACTGCAAATCAGTATATCTCAGAGCAGCACAAAACCAAAGCCAAAACAGACAAAAATATGTTCGTGTTTGTAAAGGGGAGTTAGAGGCAAAGCTCGGATCATTGGTTCACTCAAAAGCCACACAGGAGGCGAGACAATCACAGTACAGGACTGTCCCGTTCATCGTAGGGACTCCAGCTTCTGCCGAGCCTGCCACTCAAGGCCAGAAAGGGGCCCGGACCCCCCCCCCCCAACACCTCTACACTTTCCCACCTGCCCCGTGGAGAGCGTCTTCCCAGGACGCACAGGGGCGCTATCTGCAGTGACCAGCAGGGGGAACCCTGACCTCGGAAATGGGAACCCCACGGGCTATCTACGCCCCCCAACTCTGAGGCACACCCCAAACTGTGGGCTCTCGCACATTGGGGGTCATCTGCTCCCTTCTATCACGCCGCGGACCGTTATATGGAGAAACTGAGTTTCAGACAGGGCACAGACGGATGTGCCTGTATTGCCTCTTAGTGGCACAGTCGGAAAATGAACCCGAGACGGAACCCCTGGAATGTCCTCTTCTCTGCGCCCCCAGAGAGCCAGTCCACATCTCCACTTCTCGGCCACCGGACAGACGGAAGGCAGAGGCCTCACGCGTGCCCCAGCCTGGCTGCTGGCACAGAGGAGAAGGCCGTGCGTGAAGGTGGAAAACGAGGAGCCAGGAGGCCCAGCTCTGGCCCCAATTCCAGCAAAAACTGGAAAACTACACTTTCCCAGCCAAGCACCCTCCAGTTTTCTTTTTGTAAGGAACGTAATAGACATACAGCAAAAGCAACCAGACAAAAAAGTTCAAACTGTCAAGAAGGCTGCAGAGCAAGGCAAGCTAACTACTAATATTCCTTGCATATCTTTTTGGAAGTATATATTCTACTGCAGTCATAAAAGTGTATATAAGCACCTGTATCTATCTCTAGATATATTTATGGTTATACAAATGAGATTATGCTATACTTTAGTTTTAAATTTGAAACATCACTCATACTCTCCTAGCAGTGAGCTGTATCTACCTCCTTCCTTCCAGGGGCCAAATGATAGTTCATGACATGAATGGACCAGTTTACGCTGTACCCTTCGGTAACCAGCATGCTGTGCTGTCTCTGGAGGCGTCCTTCACCCACAGTGCGCCTCCTGGTCTGTGCGTGCGTCCCTGTACCCTGCACTAGGCTTTCTGTAGTGTGAATGCTCGGAAGTGGAATTTCTGGGTCAGCAAAAGCATGTATGCCTAAGTCCTTGACAGGTGTTGGCAAAACCTCCCCCCAGATGCACTCATTTCCACTTGCTCCTGGGGTTTGGAGAAGGCCACCTCCTCTCCTGGCCGCCACTGGGAAATACCGACCTGTGAGGCCTTGACCTCTTCATCCATGGAAAGAAGAGGGTTGGCCAGGATTTTAAT